AGAGGGATCTTGTACGTGCAACCGGACACCGTTTGAAAGATACGCGCCTATATAATCCGTGGAAATCGGTACCCTGACGTTAATCGAATCTGCTTGAATTTTAATGTAGCCACTATGATTATAACAGTAGATAATAATTTGTTAATTTTTTTAAAAAGAATTTACACTTGCAAAAAGAGAGTTTAATAATTATTCTCAATATACGAGAGAAAATAAGAATGTATTTGAAGGAGAACTTCTGCAACTTTTTCCAATGTTGCAGTAAAGGAAATTGTTAAAAAATGAGATAGATAATAACGAGAGAAACTTGGGAGGGATAAAGGACCGACAAAGTTGAATAAAAAATATCAACGAAGAAGAAAATGGAAGGGAATGAGAACTGTCAATGAAGATTCGAGTAGCGCCAATAGAAACTCGAATGATTGTAATCATGACCCTGCACTAAACGCGTGTCAACGTTTGAGACGGAGACGAGACACGAAACTGATGGCCCATGAATAAATATCTTCCTACTGTCAGTCGACTGAACGTGCGCGTAAAAGCGAAGCGATCGTTCGAGTCGAGGAGAGGAAAATTTAATCTAGAAATTAGGTACACCGAAGCGAGCGAAATTGAACATTTTATACTTTTCAACCAAGGTTCAGGTATAAATTTACTCGGTTGAATTATCGTGAAATTACGTGACGCCGCGCAATGCAAATTATTGTACATTTCGCCTAGTTTTATTAGAAAAGAGATTTACAATCCAGCGTGAATTTATGATCAAATGCAACAATGTTTAAGCATGTTAATTATTCTGAAATACTATTTGAACGGTTAAAAATTCTGCAACCTTTTGTATCTGGCGACGAGAAATAAATATTGTCGCAAGTAAAATGCGAGACATTTACAGGAAGCTGAGAAACATTTATAATTTATTACAATGCCTGGCTATTTCATGTACATAAAAACAGGAAAATATTGAAATATTAGGAATTTCCTGGATTATTTAACGATGATAAAAGATTTTTCATGGTTTTAATTCCATCAGATTTTACGAATCTATCATCTTCAAAGATCGGATCGTTCTTACATTGATCAATGTTGAATATAATTGTTTTTGAACGATCATTGTCGATTAATTCATATGTCAAAGAGGTATGAGAATCTAAATTTCATCATCATCCAAGGAGAACTAATTACATATACTTTGTCTGAATCATTAAGATGAAGAAATTTCCCTCGAATTAATCCTCTAATTCTCAAATTTCTCAAACGATTCACTTTCCATTATTCCACAAAGGGATTCCTATTCTCAGAGGAAGATGATATCCTCGAACATCCTAAAAAAAAAAAGTCAAAAGTCCAACGCATTCTACCAAAAGCCATTTCACGGCAAAGTTATTTCACACTATACCAAGAAGAAGATGTTCCTTCTAAGTGGCATAGACAATCTCAAGCAGCGACGTGGGCGGTAAGTGATGGATCTCGATCCTCGTGATTAATGAAGGATCTCCTCGACTTTATGAAACGTGACAAAAAACGAAATTTGGATCGTGGATACTTCACATGCGCTTTCTCAACCGTTCGAACACGGTTCGAATCCGCTTTAAATCTGCTTGGCCGATCTAAGAATACGCGCTACTCGCAGCATTTAACGGGTGGAATGCGTTTCGCGCAGTAATGGCACTTCCTAGACAGGCCTTGGACGATCGCAGACGAGTCTCGGCTCATCAGGAAAGGAGAGAAAAATCAGCCACAATTAAACCGCGTTATTTACGACAGACGCACGTCGTAAAATAAAAGAACGTCTTGCTCGTTCACCCGTTGTTTCCTTTATGATCGATTGTTAGGCCAAACGATGCCATTATCCTGGAAAAGTTCTTTCTGATTCTTTGCGATTCGTTATGTAACAATTCGGGACGTTTTTTTAAGAAATGTTGATGAATCCCGAGAAAAAGAAGTTGGAGAATTGCTCGTGATTTATTATATGTTGATGAAGTTAATGGTCACGCTACGGCTAGCAATTTTCCTCAGAGGCTTAGAACAATAGGAGAATAGCTGGCAAATTGACGATAAAACAAACTAATAATAGGATGTGAGGAAAAGTAGCTTCTACGTACAATTCGTGCATCGATCATTTATCATACATATCACAATCACAATGAAATTCTAATCTTTTTTTTTTTTTCCTCTATAAATCTTTATTAAAGTTCGACGCGTGTGATTTATAAGGAGCCTAATAAAATTTACCTGGCTGTATTAGATCGTAAATTTCAAACGTTAGAGAAACGATATGTAAACCCAATAATTACTATTATCAATGGTTTGATAAATGTTACGGCGACTCGTCGAAATGTATTCGAACCGGGAAAAGGATACACTTCTTTCCACCCTTCATTCTCTATCTCTGTTTTAACCCGTTTCCATACGCATTAAAAAACGGCGGTTAAAGCGGTAGCTTAAAGTTTGATTGACACGTTACAAGGCTCACGTATCTCTTATGATAATTAACGAGGGAGTGGTTAGATTCGTAGGCAATAAATAACTTCGTTAATCGGATACCATTTTTCCCCTCGCAACGTGGCGCCTTTGCTGTTGTAGATCGTGACGCTTGTACCTCTTTATCACGCAGGAAACATCATGAAAAATATATTCCTTTACTTTTACACCAACAGCAAAGGGAATTCCTTTTACGACCGACCACAATGTCGGACCATTTCTGACTCATACTACTTTCTTATTTAGAATTTATCTTCGTTTTACGCGAAACCACATCTGACCCCCGCCAAATGTACGATCGTCATTTTATCCGTCATAGTTCCTAATGGACAGGGAGGGGAGGGGAGGGGGGGGAGGGGGAGGGGGAAACCGGTTTGAAAGGTTTCGCCGATGAAATATTCCTCGTAATTTTGAAATATTGCCGATCATTAAAGGTATACGCGTGGACTATTTAACTTCTCGACGACAACAAGGTCTCGTTAGCCCGTGTAAATGATAATAATAACGCTGATTAAACTAACGACAAGCGCCACCAGGATTCATTAGCTACCCAACGCGAAAAACATTGCTGAATTTACGAAATACGCGGCTGCCCGATCTGGACGCGTCCCGTGGCGCTTGTTGCAGCTGTTTCAGACCGCGTGAAATTTGTCTCGTATTCAGACTTCGTGTTCAACATTATTATTCATTATTTAATATTTGCAAAGTGCACGTTTCGAGAAAGGGATTGCCGTGTCGTCATATTTTACTTTGAGTTACGTTTATGAATTATTTCGTGCGGTGCGGTAGGAATAACCGTGTTATGATAATGGATGCTTGAAGAGATGCTTCTACATTCTGTAGAGTTTTGTATTTTAGCATTTAAAGCTATTATCATTTTCAAATCATCTCATTATTTCACGAGTTTCAAGAGTTTCAATATCAAATTATTCTTCACACAGAAGTTGATACGGTGTATCGTCGCACGATGATGAAATCTTCGAGAATATCTGGATAATGGCTTCTTGAATACTAGAAATCCTACTCCTATCTCCTCTTTCAACTCTATAAATCTCCAGGGGATCCATCTTTTTTTACACACTCTATAACTAACATAAGAAGAGAAGGCGTCGTGGAACTTATACCGCCTCTTTCCCCCGACGTTTTCCTAACGACGCTGCACTAACTCTTGACCAAACAAAAATGGATGGAGAAAAAAAAAAAAGAAGAAAAAAAAGAGTGGATGAAACCAAATCGTTCTCCACGAGAAATTAATTTACGAGCGCGGCCAGTTCTGTTTTAAGCATAGAAGCTCGAAAGAAAGTCGGCGGAGAAACTCCTACTCGAAGTTGGCTCTCTCTCTCTCTCTCTCTCTGTTGGAGAAGAAATACACCGACACGCTTTCGACGAATTTCAGTGACACGCACGGATAAAGAGATGCTCCCAAAAAGAGTCACTCTTATCATCGTGACACGGATGAGACACGTTCGCGTGATACTTTTTATTGGCCCGTGGTGGTAAGCCCTCGTCGACTCTCTCGAGAGCGGCTCGAGCGGGCTCCAAGAGGAGAAACGAAAATAAAAGGAGGAGGAGGAGGAGGAGGAGAAAAAAAGAGGAAGAGGAGAGGAGGATGGAAGAAAGAGAGAAGAGGAGAAAAGGGAAAAAGAGAGGGGCCGCGCGCGGCCGTGCTTTTCAGCATGTGGACGAGAACGCGGACGAGTTTAAAGCACGAGGCAGGCGCCAGATATCCTCTAATTTGTCTTTCAACGGATCACCTCTGATGGCCGACCGGTATGACGATTTTCGTGCAGCGTATAAATTATAATATCCTTGCACGAGTTGGAGGTTATCCACTGGGCGGCCTTCGTTGTGTTCGCGAGGAATCGAGAAATTAATTCCATCGATCGAAGGTATAAAATGTTAAATGTTATGCATGGATATGCCTGGTAATTGGTAAAGTGTAACTACTTTCATTTTCGCGTGATAATTCACGCCTCTCGACCTTTCTTAACGTAACGAATTTTCAATTAAGGCAACATCTCGAAGGATAAAGTTAAATGTGACGTCTCTTGCATAGCGTAATATTATAATAATCTAACCTTTAAAATTTTGTGAATAAAATTAACTTATCGAGAAGAAGCGTCCGGTTAAAGAAATACAAGTTTTAAGTCCGTCAGCCAAGTCCATATTCGGTCGGAATTAAAACACTCGACTGAATAATTTATTCCTTAATTTCAAAACCGAACCAAGCTTTTACAAAAGTACCATAAAAATCGATGACGTATCTAAGAAGAGTTTCAATGAGGAGAGTCCTTTGAATCAGCATCAAAGACACCGCCTCCGCACTTACTCCCCCTCCCTTTCTTTTTTTTTTCCTCTCCATACACGAACAGGCCGGTCCAAACGATTGCACATTAATTTAATCTACGAGTTTGGCATTGAAGTTCGAGTCAAATTGGACCCAGCCCAGAAATTATACCATGTAACACGCGTTAAATCACGTTTCGACGTTCCTCGGTTGTTAACATTCGAAATCTTACCGTCAATGATATCAGCAGAGAGAGAAGAATCGTTTGATCCATCTTGGAGAACATTCTTCTTCCGGTTCACGCTCCACGTATCATCTTCCACAAGCTTCTTCCCATTAATATTCTTCCAGATGAGATTCGAAGCGATCTCGAGAACAATTATTCGTCATTTTTCGAGCACGACAGTCGTTTTGCATCACACCACACGATTCAGTTTTAATTCCCTCGGCTGTCATTGAAATCACAATGCCATATTTCACTCGTATTCACACTCTTCTTCTCTTCTACTCGCACCATCGAATCGCTTTTATCACAATAATTTAATGAAACTTACGTTTCCTTTCTTCGATCCTCCTCCGATCGGAATATCTTTGAATAAAATTAAATAACGAATAAATTAAATAACGAGAAAGCGATCAAATGTTTTTTCTTTCTTTCTTTTCTTTTTCTTTTTTGAAAGTTTAATTTTATTCTTAAAATTAAATATTCTTCGTTCATAGAAATTTCGATTTATCCCTTATCTCTAAGATTTATCTCTATCCGATTTCTCAATAAAATACCTACTCTATCTGACATTACAAATCTGACATTAATGAATTTAACCAAGAATCTCCATTCTTCCTTTCACACCTCGAGCTTCTATATTAGAATTCTCACGATATTCAGTTTCCCTGGCAATTTTCCACGCCAACTTTTCCACCGATTCACCGATACGCGGATATTATTTATTGTTTCTCGGGTTACCTCCTATCCTAACGTAGGAATTTCCACGCAGGTATCTAAATTGTGATCGCGTTAGTGTACACGGGGATAGAAGGATAACGGAGATAAGAGAAATTATTTACAGCGTGGTAAGGCAGGATAGATAGAAGGACGTATGGGGCGCTATGGGGTTTGAACTATAATTACAAGAGACTTGTGATAAATCGGTGACCTTTTCTGATTTTTCGTCGCTCCTGTTTCCATTCTCCTGTTTCACGAAACACGTTTTCCTCGAAGGTTAGGGCGTGCTGCTTCTGTTCCTTCCAATAAGAGATTGAAACTTGGTGCTGACAAGAATGATCGATAAGTTTCAAGTGAAATTACACAGTAGTGTTATTATATCGAGCACGATTGGATTACTACACGATCGATCCGTTTCGATTTCGTAAGAGAATCGATTGAATTCCTTCATAACGAAGGAACGAATAGAAGAAGAAGAAGAAGAAGTTGTTCCATGTTGTCGTATTAATAAAAATAATTGGACGTGTGACGTGAACGTGCTGGTTTGATGATAATTAAGTTGACACGTGCTAATGACGAATACGTGTAACACACAAGAAGGCAATGTTTGGAGCGGTTTCATCGAGAAAGCGGAACGACAAAGTGTTGGAAATCGCCGACTATTTTTAGGATTGTTTTAAGAAAGGAGCCGTTTTCTTTACGGTTGTAGAATGGAGCACACCTCGGCGGAAAAAAATATATTCAACGTTTGAACAATATTTTAATGCCGGCTGAAGGTAGGTGGAGGAGGATCGGCTGCTATTTTTAAGTCGCGTCCTCGATTTCCGGATGACGCGATGCAGCTCACATTATCGGCGAATTGATGTTTTTCGTTTTGTTTCGAGACAACGATTGAGACATTTTTCTTCTTCTTTTTTTTTTATGATATTAAGCAAGAAAATCCGAAATGATTCAATGAATACAAGCCCGGCCTACAATTAGAAAAGAATTTTCCCAAAACATCTCTTTATTGTCATAAGATCGATAAAAGAAAATCAAATCATCAAATCGATACGCAAAAAAGCTCAAGTAGAAGAAAAACTGCTCCTTAAAATTTCAAGCATTCCATCGCCTCCTCCAATAAAAAAAAAATCAAACACGCTTCTCTATCCCCTTAAAGAAAAAAAGAAAGAAATTGAACGACACCGATTTTCGAGTGGCTCCAAAATCTTCTTCTATTCACTCACTATACCTCAATATCTTAAGTACACCATCCGCTACTCGAAAACTCGATTCCGTCCAATAAAACTTTTTATCGAGACCGACTCACGAGCACCGCCGCCATCGACGCACACACGCGTATCCCGCAACACGGACGCAACACTTGCACGGATAGGGGAACAACACAGGCAACCGATTCGACGCGCGATCAAGATATTTTGCATCGTGAGAAACGAGTTATGATGCGACACGAAGGAAATTGGATATTAGAGGTGCCGTCGTTCACGTGTGTACGTATACGAAGGCGCACATAATGCCTTCATGCTCCAGTTGTTAGTGAGCGTTAGACGGGAATCGATATTAGTCGTGCGTCGACCTGTCGAACGTAATCGTTTCTCCTACGAGTAGAATTATCTCTGCTGAAAGCGCGCCGGCGCTAGGCGGAAAAAATATTTTTATCCCCTCCCCCTCACGATCCACGATCCCTTGCATTCCATCCTTCCTTTCGTTCTCAATTATACACGTATAACGTTAACCGCGTATATGAAAAGTTTCGATCCGCGACAAGCCGCCATTTTTTATCGGCTGGCGCCAACCTCGATGGTTCCAGTAGATCGATCTCAATTACGTTCCTCCCTCCCGGTTTACATTATCGCCATTTTTTGATCTATTGTTTATGGAGCCTTGTTTTTCGAGCTCTTTCATGTTTCGCTGTTGTCGAGGGGTTGAGGGGATTAATTTATGGGCCCGGTATTCGGGGCCAAAGGGGATTAGTTTGTGTTTATTTTGCGGAATTGGAATGGCGCTGTGTGGCTGCAACACGTGGAATTTATGAAGCAAGAGGGAAATAAGAAGACGAAATTATTGGAGCTGTAATTACGTACATTCGGTTATATGTATATACGTTGGATTGCTTATTTTTCTTTCCCCCTCTCCCCCCCCCCTTCTTTCTCTCTTCTTTCTCTCTTTCTTCGCGGCGATTCAATGAGAAAAAAAATTGAAAAAAATTGAATTCATTGAGTGAGAGATTGCGTGAATTACAATCTCAGGTATTTGTAAATCGTAAATACACCGTTTTAAAATCGGTTTGTCGGAGAAGTTATGAGCTACTTGGTCTATAAATATGAGATTCTTTTTCCTAGATACGATAGAATATATTATTACGTACCTACTTATGTTACAAGTGGTTACATTTGTGTGTTGCTCTATCTTTTTTCTTTTTTCTTTTTTTTTTTTTCCCCGTTGGTGAAATTAATTTATGTTCGCGGAACTGTGCATGTGTTGGGTTCAGTTGGCATCGTGATGCAATAAAGTACAAGAAAAATCGGGAGAAAAATTGTATTCGTACAAATTTATAAACGGTATATAACATATTCTCCAGTCGATCGTATATTTTATTCGATCTTTACGAGGAACATTAGCCAATTAGAGATTTTAAAATTTTACTCATGAGTATAATGTTGACGAGGAATGTTCATCGAGTTGGAAAACACGATTTGTTGAATTTGTTAAAATAATAAATTATTTAAAGGTAATTAAATTATTAGTCGATTATTTATTAGTTTTGGATGGCAACGCGCGTGCATATTAATTGGAAGTTATTGCCGGTTGAATGTTGCACGTTAAGTAGCGGTGGAAGTGCGCGATAAGTAATCGAGTTGCGGGTGAATATGAATTTATGGGTTATGTATTCGGGCAGTTGTCTGTATATGTCACTCAAACGAAATGGCGGCACAGAATACGCTCATGGCGCAACATTTCAGAAAACGAAAACGTCTATCGGTGAACGATGTCGTAACGCGGAGACAAAATATTAAATTGGGCAACAAATTTTTGTACTTTCTACCGACGATAAATTATTCGTCAATAATTATTTCATTTTCATCGTTTTAGACTTCTTCTTTACTTCGATGATGTTAATTTTAAAAATTATCAGGAAAGGAATCTTTTTCCATCGAAACGACAATTTAAATGGATAAAATGGTAAATTTTATGACACATTTCGGAAAAAATCAAGATTAGAGATCGAGCAGTATCTTTTATCATGAAAATCAAATGTTTCGTTCTCGTTTCGATTTAATTTTGCATTGAGATTCTGTTAGAGAAGAAAAAATTAAAATTTTAACAAAAATAAAATATAATAAAAATTTCCATTCAACCAATCGATATTCCGAATATTAATTTTCTAAATTTATAACACAAATTTTATCATAATAATATCTTTAAAAATTTTTCTAATACTTTATCTTTCAATGACGTTAATAATATATATTTTATGAGAGACAAGAAAATAATTTACATAATCATCGAATCCCGATATACGTGTTAATTACATTGGAAAATGGCCTCGTCAGACGGCTTCCACGGTTCATTGCTATGTCTATTTTTTTTTTTTTTTTTGTTCACAACTGATGTTTATGGGACCACGTTACTTTATTATAGTGGGAACACGGTTGTAAGAATGCCACCATTCCGATGGATCTGAGTAAGTACTTGCGCAAGTGTCGGTATAACGCGAGCCATCGTTATTTTTATGATTATCGACCCATCGGGATCGTGAACTATTAATAATACGCGTTTGTGAAATGACTGATCGGCAGAAACGATTTTCCAACAAACAGAACCGATGAGATAATCGTGCGTGTAACAGAAATTAGGCCTTCTTCGTGATATTTGATAGTTGGGGTTTTTACGTTTTCAAAATGATGGATGAATCGAGGATTTTGCAACAAACGATCGATTCGATTTAAGGACACGTTGAAATATTTCTGTTTTGACCTATTTCTAATCTTACAGAAGTGAAAAAGGATTTATTATTATTTTTCTTTTTTTTTTTTGTATACTTCGAATTGAATTCTTTGAAATTGAAAGTTGAATAGTTAATAATAAATTATATAATAATAGATATTGATATTTGATACTGACACAGAATGATTTTGCTAGAAAATACATGCAATTAAAATTCATAGTTCGCATCATATATGGAAATTTTGGACATCAAGGATGATACTTTCGATCGAGGTGGAAAAGTTTGAAGGTTAAATAATATTAGTGATTACGTTTTCACGGTTTCTTCCGGTACATGAGAACGAGATTCACGTGCGAAGAGAGGCACAAAGTCAAGGCCGCTTGCATTCGTCCACGAAAATAGCTTTGGAAGCCGTCAAAGGGGTCGTAAATTTAGATTTGTGTGCAGACAAAGTGGTTTAAACTCGTGTTCCGGGTATGTTGTGATAGAAAAATAGTCTCGTGGTGTCGCGGCAGCGGTGATGAGAGAAAAAGGAGGAAAGAGGAAAGAGGTTATAACCGTCTGTGACGAGGTTCACGTCATAGCTCGATTCGCAGAATTTTGCCACGATTTTCAGAAATATTCGAATCTTTAATGGGCCAGCTTTGACACGTATATCTTCGCGTATCTTAATCTTGTTCTTTCAATTTGTCAACGTGTTCCAACGCGATGTAAAATATCATCCTTGGCGAAGGAATACGTGTTAAATCCATGCTCGTCACGGGAATTCGATCACCTTTGAACTTTAAACAGTTGGAATTCGAACGACAAGTTGGCCGGCCGATGAGAAAAATCATGTCGAGCGTGTACCAACATTAGTATCTGGTACAATCCCGATGTAAAAAAAGATTCGAAACACGAGGTCAATTTGTCATGGTGGTCGTAAAATTCCAATTGAACAAGAACAAGGAGGAAAAGTTAAATAAGGTAAACCTTATCTTTTCCCGAAATGTCGACGTGTTATTTGTCATGTTTTATTTTCGAAAAAAAAAATTTCACAGGAAAAAGATCCATATGTTTGGATCTACAAAATTAAATTGTTAACAACAAATATTGCTACATAATTACTCCTTTCCCCATATACGTATATTTAAATACGAATATGACATTTACTACATTCACATTCGATAAAAAAAAAAAAAAAAAAAGAAAAGAAAAGAATGCACTTGTACTACATTTCACAGCAAACCTTTCTTACGACCTAATCAAGATCAAGATCACCTTTAGAAACAACTTTATTAAATATATATAATTCTCCGTGATGGAACAATTGAATCAATAAACTATATTCAAGAAATCACTCAATTAACACAAATAAGTATCACCTACGAAAGATTAGAACGAAATTACTTCTCGCCACGTATACGTATACGTGCGACGTAAAGATCGAGCATATTTTTATCTCTGATTCCTCGCTGGTGTTTACGTTTCCGTAGCAAAACTCTCTCGGATCTCGTCTCCGCCGATCGATTCACGATTAATTCGAGTCCACGATATTTCGATATAATAGATTCACGATGCGATTCACTTGTCGGCCGTTAGATCTTTGATCAAATGAGAAGCCGCAGCGACGGTAGCGTGATGCATGTTACAGAATACCGAGAAGCGAGTTCCTCTGTCGTGCTTTACAGAGGTGTCGTGCCGAACTGACGGCTCCCGTCGGTGGAGGATCGACTTTATACAGCGGTGTGTCTCGCGCTGCTCTATGAACGCAGCTTTAGGGGACTCCACCTTTGTCTGTCACCTGACCACGCCACGCTTCCGATCTCATCTTCCTTCCTTCCGTTT